TTTTTTTTTTTTTTTTCCTAGATTGAGGCATATAATTGACATTTTGTCTTAAAAAAAATAAGAAAAGGAAGATGGATATAGATTCTTTTGTAAGTGCACATACCACATTTTCTTGTATTTGAAACTCAGCAGTGCTTATGTTTACTTCATATAATTTTTATTTTTGGCAGAGCAAATATGGATTTTTAAACTTATTTTCATTTTGCAGATGCAGGCATATTCCTGCCTGAGACCCCTCAATTTGAACTTTTTACCTTTTTTTTTTTGAAACCTACAGATAACTGTGGAAAGGAGCTGTTGGTCTGCTTTTTGCCTATGGAGATGTTCATTTGTAGTCTAGAATGGACTATTTAGAAGTAGGTAATCTTGTGTGGCTAATTTTTTTTTTTTTTTTTTTTTGTGGCCAATGTTTGACCTGAATTGTGTCAAGACATTTTCCACAGTTCTCACACACGTAGACTATGTGAAGTGTTAGTATTCATTTCAAAGTAAAGTTAGTGGTTGGACACCAAACAACTTGTTACACAAAGTATTCTAAAATGGGAAATGCCATAGTATTGAAGGTTGTGGTGAGGTAGAAGTCTGTGTCTCTGAGCTGAATAAAGACATAGCTTTTTTAGTCTGTCCTTTTTGGCTGGGAAGCTGGGACACTATTTTTAGGTAAGGCTGTAGTTTTTGAGAGTAAGTACCTTTGTATCAGCTGGTAAACTTGATTATTGCATTTGTTAACAAGTTTCCTTTTCTAATACCATAGATATTAAAATACATTGTCTTAAAGTTGGTATATATTTATAGACTGTCCAGTTTTCACTGGAAGAAGAGTGATGCCAAAACAACAGGAAAAGTCATTTTTACTTGCAAAGGGCCTTGTGTAATTAAAAAATCTACAGCATATTCATGAAAGGCTAAGAATAGTGCAGAGGGACCTACAAGTAAGTAGCCCAGATCTTACAGATGCATGTTTTTTCCGTTTAAGCAATAGGCTTGGCATTAATATTGAATGCAGATTAGTTCTATAATTGTCTGTCAGAGACCCTGAGATCCAAATACAGGCCCCATACAAGAAATAAGGACCTTTACCTATTGTTTCAAATGTGCAGAAGATTTTGGGCCAAGTTTATCAACAATAGTTACCCAAGAGAGGGAGAGGAACTACTTAAAAAATTATAAGCAACTTTTTAGGTTTTATTTTCATTAACCTTAGGTGAATGTACATGTAGATGTAAGCAGATGTAATTGGATTTCTAAGTAATATTTTGAAATGTTTCTAGAAGAAAAGTGATACAAGCAGAGAGTATGCCATGCTATCTTACCATTCATTTCAGTTAGTGAGTGCAGTCAGGGTTACTTCTGTAGCACTGGCTAGAAGCAGCATATAACATGAAGGTTTATTGCTTTGAGGGTGGCTGGGATAATAGTTTTGAGTAATCCCCAATCTATTAGAAGTTAATATTCCTCTTTTTAAAAAGACCACTATAGATGTAACAGGAAGAATGTTATTTATATATACATGTAATAACTATTTTGGTCAACTTCTAATTGTTTAAAAGAAATGGAAAGTGGTAGTTTTGAGTAATCCTGAATCTATTAGAAGTTAATATTCCTCTTTTTAAAAAGACCACTATAGATGTAACAGGAAGAATGTTACTTATATATACATGTAATAACCATTTTGGTCAACTTCTAATTGTTTAAAAGAAATGGAAAGTATTTCATACCAGCAGTCATACCAACTTGTTTACTCTTGTAAATTGTACTGGGTCAATTTCTCCAAGTAAGAGCAGGAAGTTGTTTGGTAAAAGCAGAGTGTATACATTCATTTTGCCTTTGAACAAAAAGAACTGATTCATCCTCAGGTTCTTCAAAGAATGCATGGCATCTTTTTCGACTGAACTATTCTGAAGTGTGAATGTTTGTGATTTTTGTCATTTCTGTGCCATATTTTAGGTGTTCTTGGAACATCTGAATTTGCCTTTTGGCTTTCTTCTGCAGAAATTCTCTTGGTTGTGATGAAAATGTCCTGTAATGCGAGCTTCCTGTCAGTAGGCAATATGTTTAACTAACATGGTTTTAAAAAACTGTTTACTTTTATGTAAAACCCCTGTATGCTTATGGTAAACAAGTTTGAGCAGTACTTAAGCTCGTAAAGTAAAAAAGTTTAAAAAAAAAAATAAAAAGCCTCTGTTCTTCTTCCTCTGTCTCTAGTCCTGCTCCCCTTAGCTGACTGTGGTAAACAGCTGAGTGTCATTTAGCTTTTGGAAGACCTCTCTATTCTTGAGATATTCTGGCAGTGTGGAAGTAGGGTGAGAAGTCAGAAAAGGCATGGCCATTGAACCAGAGTTTAGATGTTGTGCAGGGACTATTCTGTTCTTATTTTCGGTGATAAGTAATAATGATAAACTCCCATCAGTTTAAGATAACTGTAATTGAATTGTGAAACACAAAAACAGTTAATTTTTTGGTCAGGTTGGTAGTTTTGATTTGTTGATCTTTTAAAGAAATATGTGTGAATTGAACTCATGTAATGTTAGAGCTGGTGGGGGTTAATGGTGGTAATGAATTACCATCTGTTGAATTTTAGGATAAGCTGCACAGTATATTTACTATAGGCTTTTTATAACTCATTATCTCCTTTAATTCTTATAACAACTCACAAGACAGTTATTTCCATTTTACAAAGGAAGAAATTCAGCCTTAAGTGTGACTCAACTAATGTAACATCACGAGACCACTAAAGTAGTGGAGCTGGTGTTCTTTCTGGAAAACCTGTGCTCTTCTTTCTCTAGCTAGTCTAAGTGACTTCTTTTCCAGATAAGGAAATTTAGGCCTGAAGAAATTAAATGAGTTGCTCAAGGTCACGCAGCTCAGAAGTAGCAACATTAAACCAAGCTGCTTTTTTTTTTTTAATCTTTGGAGGCTTATCTCAAGACTCTTGGTCCAATGCTGGTCATGCTACATTTTACTGAACTACCGTGGACCAAAAGACCATATGCTGGGAATATTAGATACAAATACTTTGGAACTGATACCTTGGTGAATGGTGTTTTCTACTATGTATTAAACAAACTTTCTTCTTTGTCTTTCAGAAATTATAAAGAGCTCTGATGGGCTATTTGGGTGATACCCAGTGCAGTGAACTGCAGGTGAGTAAGGTTTAGGAGAACTTTATTTAGAAAAGAATTTTATAATGCCTGAGAAAGATACAAAGAGACTTAATCTAGACTAGAATGGCCAGAAAGAATAAGGTAGGACAGGGTGAAGTGATACAGGGCTGTAGTGAAACAGTGGTAAGGTGAAGGTACAGATCCTAACGGAATTGGTTTCTTCTGGAACAGACTGAATGATGAACAAATTCCAAAGAGACTGCCTGCTGCCTTGTCAGTTTAGTTTTGAAAGAGTGAGGGTAGGTTAATCTTCCACTTCTCTTCCCATGAGTAACTGCATAGGGGCTCAGCTTGTCTGCATGCTATTGGAGCTTGAGAATTCTTCAGTTTTTGTGTCAACATTCTTGAGTGGCAATTACTTTGTGCTCTGATGAACTTGGTTAAGTATTGAATTGTTTTTCTTGTTATCTGCTGTTTACGTAGTGTCATGAATGACTGTATAGATCTAAATACTGAGGACATATCAATAGAAACAAAAGGTTGAACTTTTCTTCCTAGTGGTTGTACTACCTCTATTCATACTATTAGTCTTTCAGATGACTTACCTTTTGCTGAAATGCCTGTTTTTTTTTTTTTGAGACGGAGTTTCACTCATGTTACCCAGGCTGGAGTGCAATGATGCGATCTCGGCTCACCACAACCTCCGCCTCCTGGGTTCAGGCAATTCTCCTGCCTCAGCCTCCTGAGT